GCTATGTAGGTACATCAGATACCAGTATTAGAATGGCAGAACCAATCCTTCAGGAGAAAGTCTTATCTATTACTGGAAGTAATTTAATCTTGAAGAGCAATAGAAATGAACTGAAGTGGTTTTTGTTGAAGGGCGTTTGGCTTTTAGCATTCACAGAATTGGAAATGGAGGGTAGCTAGAGAGGAAGGATGTTCGTAATGAGAGCCTCTCACTTGGTATTTAGTAGTTTTGGTTCTCACCAGAGATTTGTGACTGGTGTGATTCATGATCTTTAGCCAGGTTGATGGACACACCTATGCTTTTGTTTCCCTACTTGCTTTGTGCTTTAATTATTGGTCCTTAAAACTGGAGCTAGAACAAGAAGGTCTTATGCTTGTAAATGTAAGTGTTCTTGTGCAGAGTTCCCTATATTTGTAGAGCTTTCTCTTGTATACAGCAGGTGCTATCAAGTCCAAAAAAGAAGATTGGCAAAAATAAGGGTAGGAAAAATAAGCTGGTTCTGAACTATCTGGAACACTTCCAGTGTGTCCAATTGATTTTAAAGAACTTTCTTATAAGCACTAGGTGCTCCAATCACCCTATACTAACACAGAAGCAATGGGACATTCTCTAAAATTAAATGTTGTTTCAGGAAAAACAGTAAATCCCTTTTGCATAAAGAACTGTAGCATTTATCAACTGTAACATGTACATGAGCCACTGTACACCAAAAATTAGTAGAATATTTAAAAAATGACAATTTTATGGGTTTCGATACCACAGAATTATGCTAGTGATCACAAAACTAGCAGAACTGCTGAGGCTCGGTTTCTGCTGGGTTTATCTCTCATCATTAGCTCACTTTTTAACTGAGTTGTACCAAGTCCTTATGTATCAGAAACAGCATGCAGGAGAGTTCTTAGTGATGCTGGGATTGCTGCAGAAACATCAGTCACATCAGCAGCTTATTAGGCAATAGACAGTCACCATAGGAGAGAAACCTTGATGAAGAGATGAATTCCTTGGTGGCTCATAAAATACTTATTCCAGTTGCAGCTTTCTCATCATTAAGGAAAAGCTTTCCCATGAAGACTTGCTGTTGTCATATGAAGTTAAAGCTTACTTTACAGCCTTTTCTCAGCTCTACTTCCTGATCACCAACTTTTACAAAACTTGTGGGAACTCAACATTTCCATTAAAGTTGCTTGAAACTGGTCAGGAAGTTAAAAAAAAAGTCATGTATATAAACTGTAGTTATCTAGGATGTACTTAGAGGGACATAAAGTAAACCCTCACACGTAAGAGCTCATTCAGTCCTTAATGGTTGGATCCGAGATCATTGAGATCATAGAAGAGCGAGGGTTTACTCCTTGTATACTCTCTGCATTACTCTTACATCGTCCTCTGAAGTATTGGTTCATATTGCTATTGGAGATAGGGTGAGAGACCAGGTGGGTTTCATCTCTGATCTGAGAGGGCAACTGCTGTAAAATACCTTTGGATTCCTTTATAGAAAGAAGATTAGAGCACAAAGCACCACAGTGATGAGCATCTTAATACAGTAAAAGGCAGGCAGGTTGTTTCTGGTTTGACTGATGAGGAGTGCTGCTATCCATCACCAGTTTATTTCCTAGAGGCAAACTGGGTGTCATCTCTTTTGCTGACTCAGTAGTCCTTGTGGGAGACTGATGTACATGATAGTTCAGGTGGAAGAGCATCCTCCTAAAACTGTATTGGCAAATAAGCTGTATATGTATTGTTGCCTATAAGGAGATTCCCAGTCAGTGTTCGAGAGTGTTTATTCCTGGTGTATAATAAAGAACTTAAGACAACTTTTTAACTTAGGGTGCTGGTGAGGAAGATGAGACATCCAAGGCAGGTTTATAGCTGTGAAAGTAGTCAGTAACCAAATCCTAGTAAAAGGATAAACAGATATTTAAGGACTCTTTGCAAATAAAATAGTTAATTGAAGAGTTTTGCAAAGGAAAAATGGGACAGTAAATTGTATTAATCATACCTTAAAAGCTGGACTCCAGGTCGCTTTTATTTGAACAAATAGAGATGTTAAATCTCAAATGAATATTATGTAGCAGGGAGGCATATTGTGTTTGGTTTTTTTGGTGGTTTGGTGTGGGATTTTTTTTTTTGGCTTGGTCTTTTTTTTAAAACCAGAAATAGCTCTAAATAACTTAAATTCATTTAAAAGAAGCCCATCTGTTACTGTTCTTGTTTTCTTACCCATAATTTAAATGGTAAGCATCAAAGTGTAAATCCTTAACTGTGTACAAATGTGATAACTGTTCACCTTCACGTTTACCTGCTTTTCAAACTTAATTCTCCATTCATTTGAAAAGAGGTAACCATAGTTGATAGGAATATTTTTAAAAGGAACAGTTTACACCCTGAAATTTTTCAAACACATTTTTTATTGAAGTGGTCCACACGTACTTTTTTTTCTTGAGTTTGAAAAGCTTTAATTTAAACTACAGTGGGTGCTCTAGTGCTGTAGTACTACCACCAAAGCACTGTCATGCAGTGTTGGTTCTTGTCTAACAAGACAACATAATCAGAAAAATGTGCAGTAATTTTTTTAACAATAATGTTTTCTTTCATGGAAAACAACAAATAAATGTGCCTGCAGACTGTTTCTGGACACAAATTGCTTGAAGCTAGCCCTTGCTGTTGCATTTGTGTGTATCAAATTTAAGTTTCCCTTTGTCTCTTTGCTGTCACTTTTAAGTTTTGTCTTTCTGAACCTAATGTTTTCCCTTTTCAGCCCTATCTCAAAAGCCATTTATTTTAGGTTCTTGTGTTTTCCTACCATGACAAGCATACTATTTTTACTGATTTTTCCAGAGTAGTCAAGACAAATGAAGGGGGATGAAAAAATAATAGGGTTTGTCAGAACAACCACAGTATTATGTTAAGCTACAGGTTTGTCTCTGTTATCCAAGAGCACTGCCAGGCCCTGAGGAGGGCCTGTCTGCTGGCACTGGGGAACTGCTGGAATGGTCCATGGCCTGAATTTGACCCCTGCCAGGCAGCTCTCTCCTGGTGGGTTCCCAGGCCTATTTTTGGGAGTTAGAGGACCAGAACATGTCTGCATTTGGCAGTCTGCATGCAGTCACTCATTTCAGTTCTAGCTTGAAAGGTGGCCTCATCCCTGGGAAGCTACTTGGGCATGTTCAGTTTAATGGGATGCCTATAGCCTATGAGGTTTCACTAAGCAACCTGAGCTAGCAATTCTGGTAGCTGGTTAGCAAGGCAGCAGCTCTCCTATAATAGCAGTGTTTGATCTTAGGTCTGTAGGTGCCTCACCCGTAGGTCAATGTAGTGGTGACTTCATTTACAAGGAAGGGCTGAGGGAGTTGGGCATGTTCAGTCTTGAGAAGAGATGACTGAGAAGGGACCTCATTAATGTATACAAGTACATGAATGGGAAGTAGCAAGATGATGGAGCCAGACTCTTCTCAGTGGTAAAAACCAACAAAACAAAATGTAGTGGGCAAAAACTGATGCACAGGAAGTTCCACCTGAACAAGAGGAAGAACTTCTTGCAGTGCAAGTCACTGAGCACTGGAACAGATTGTCCAAAGAGGTTGTGGATTCTCCCTCACGGGAGGTATTCAAGAACCATCTGGATGCAATCCTGAGCCATGTGCTCTAGGGTGGCCCTGCTTCAGTTGGGAGGTTGGAGATGACGACCCATTGTGGTCCCTTCCAGCCTAACTGATTCTGTGATTCTGTGATGTGGAAGGTAAAGAGTGATGTGGTGACATGGCTTGGCTCCTGTCTGCCCTGCCACAAACACTCTGCTTGTGTCCCTTGTTCCCTTGCTCTCAGGAATGTGTCCCACCTCATGCTGTACACATGAGCATGGTCCAGCAGGTGAAGTAATGTACCATTGGAGCAGCTCTGCAGAGGTTACAAGGGAGAAAACACCAAGGGAATTGGAACATATGTCAGAACAGATATTTTCAGACTCAGGAGATTAGTAAAAGTATTTAAAATGGGGTTGATGTTGGTTTCTGATTTGCTTTTCCTTAGTTTTTTTTCTGTGTTTTTCTAAGCTCTGAGTTTTTCATTTGTGTCTCAGGCCATTCTTCTCCTTCCTTATCTCATGATATCTTTCTTCCCATGCCTGTTCCTTCCTTCTGTTTTGTTCCCACATCCCTGTCTGCCCGTCCCACTCATGAATTCACGAAATTGAATAATTTCACTTGTCTGTGATCCAGTCCTGGTCTGCTGTGGTCTGTCTCTTCGCTGGTGCACACCTTGTCATGCCCTCACCACCCTTGCACCCCACCAGAGAAACCACAGCAGTGATGCTCATGATTCTCCCCTTTCTTGACTTCCCTCCATCTCTTTTCAGCACCTTTTTTTCTCAGATTGTGTAAAATTGCCTCCCTTCCCAGAGCTGCAAGTGTCCTTGCCCATCTCAACTCCCTTCAAGCTGTGGGATTTCTCAGGATTGCCCCATCATAATGACAGCCAAGCATCTGGGTTCCTGGGGATTGATACTGCACAGAATAGAGGAGGTGCTGGTTAGTCTTTTCCTGCTCAGGTAGCTTTGAAAGGCAGGATTTTTAATCCCTCTTGTTTCCCAGTGCAGGTACTGTCACATGAGGCTGTTTTCCTTTAGGAGAGGATTAGACTTTGTTGCCATACAGAGAACAGGGGCAACAAAGGGTTATTAAATGGTGGCAAATGGATAAGCCTTTCACATGTAACTTTTTTGTATTTTTACAGCTGAGTTGCATAAATACCAGGTAATGCCTCTGTTCTTGTCTCTTTGTGGGCTGGTAAGAGCAGTAGAGAGAACTGTGTGAGGATGCTCATGGGGGAGAGACAAGGTGTCTGCCCAGATCCTTCAGGCTGGTGCTTCAGCAGTATTTTCTGAGCCATAGTTACTGGATTTTCCTGCTGGTGCAGGGGGATATGTGAGCTACAGCTTCCTGGCAGGATTCTGGGAACAGCACCAAACCCTCGCCAGGCAGCAAGCAGCTTTTGTGCTCTGATTCAGAAGCAGGCTGAGAAGATGCAGCCCTCAAAGCACACACCCGAGATGGGGAAGGGGATCTGTGCAAGGAGGATGTTTCCAGTGTGAGGTTCAGAGCCTGGGGGGACCTTCTCCTGCTAGCACTCTCAGTAAGTCTGTAGGTCAGCTGCTGGTTTTGGTGCAATCACGGGAGGAGGGAGATTGCTGCCTTTCACCACCGCTACCCTGAGCCAGCTCATCCTTCTAGCTATTTCTGTCTATGCTTGTCTATAGCATCATCCCCCCTTGTGCCTGTGTACCTGCCAAGCATTCAAAACAGGCACTGCTGTGGCAGCCTTCTTCTTTCTCTCCAGCCTGAAGGATAAATGATTGGATTGCTTCTTTTTAATTGTTTCTCTGCATCAAGAATTTACGGTGGGAAAGCTAAGCCAGAGAAATGCTTTCAGGAATGGGTGGCCAGGTTGGCAGATCTTTGCTTGTTCTCAGCATCTAGGGAGGTCCTGCAGCCTGGCCCTTGCTGGGCTCACTGGCTGCCCTGTGCATCGGTGCTCTCTTTGAAAGCAATGGTTTCCTGGAGTGAGATGTGGTCTCAGGTCAAAACAGACAAAGCTTGGATGCGAGAGAGAAGACCTGGATCTGACTTGCCGGTAAGGGGACCCAGAACAGAAAGCTGAGTGCTTGGGTGAGTTCACAGCTGGCTTGTCCAATGTAGAACACTGTACTGTTCTTTATTATAGACTGAATTACTCAATGTGGAAATAACTGTGTCAGAAATCCTGGTATCTATACACTGTCTGTGTACTATATGATGTTTGTATGCTATACGTGTTGTTTGGTTTAGTTTGGGCTGTGAAGTAGACTGCTCTCTGTTTTAGTACATCTCACCATGGCTTGTGACTTTGTTTCCAGCTGGGAATTTCAGTATTTGCATCTGGAGTAGTGCAAATATGTGCAGATGTGCAAAACTTAGATCTCACTTTTGTTGCAGCACTGGTTTGAGCCAATAAATTTCACTCCATTTGGAAAATTGACATTAAAGAATGTCTTCTGCCACTTCAGTGTATGACTGTAAAAGCACTGAAGCATAGATAATGTCTATATTTGTAACATACTGCTTCTGATCCTTAAAATATGAAGTGTAGACACAATGGGATACAGTCTCAAAGCATCTTCCCAAGGTTGCTTTATTGGAGAGGTACAAAAAGTGATCGAATAATCAGGATTTTTTTCTTTTAAATAATCAGCTTTTAAACACAGAATTTCAGTATGAGGCTGTCAGGGCTTTCCAGATATTTTATTCTAGATTTCCACTGATTGAAACTGTCATTGTAACATTTGAAATAAGACATGGGTTCAAGCATCCTGTATCAATATTTCTTTATCAAATCTGTCGTTTACATGTAAATGCTTGTGGCAGTATGTAGAGTGGAAGTTGTTTTGATGAGCAAGAAATATTGCAGTATATAGAGTATCTAAATTAATATGGTTCTTACAGTGTTTGTAAAATACCTCTGTGCTGTAAACAACCTCTGATTTACAAAATGTAATTTCTAAAACAAAACATTTTTAGCACTGCCACAGCAGTATAAAGATATTTGTATAGGTAGTTACAAATGATGGAGCCATTTGGGCTGAGATTGCTTTGCCCTGCTGGCTGTGGTCTGGGTGATGCTTCTGGACAGAGGCATTTGACCAGCCTTTTGGCTTAGTTTCCTA